AATCTCCCCCTTGCTCTCTCCTCCCCTTGTTCTCCTTCTCCTCCTCCTTGCTTGTCACAAAAGCAAAAAAAAAAAGAGTATCCTTGATAGAAGTCTCACTCAGACGTACCGGTGGGATTTTGCTTGACAGGACTACAAAGTTCCTTGCTCCTCATTGCATCACCAGTCCAAAAAAACCAAAAAGACAAAATCCTGCAAAAACGCCAGGCCGTGGATAAGCTCAAGCCAGTTCCCGCAAAGTATACCATGCCATACCATGCCCTCGCTCAAAAGAAGCAAAAAAGAAGCGCCCATGAAAATGCCCACTCAACCCCGCTCTAGTCAAAACTATCACGCCTTTCCATCCGAGGCCTTTGACCATCAACATCATCGTCCTAAGAGAACATCTTGGAGCCAATTCCCCTCAAACTCGCACTGATTCCCTCGCCCAGACTGGGACTGCTCATCTTCTCACTTGCACTTCCACCCTTATTCGCCGAAACCTCCATACAGGCAGCCAGCATATTCAGCCGCAAGAGACGCAGCCTCAGTGTGTGGTCGTAGGATTCCGCCATTTCCAGCGCCTCGGCGTGGACTTCGTGGCGGGGGTTCGTAGCAGGCGAGATGAGCAGGCGGTCCACGAGGTCGATGCGTCCTTCGAGCGTTCTCGTGTTGATCATCTCCTCGAGTTCATCCTCGATGCTGGTCTCTCCTGCCGGCGGAAACTTGGTCGCCATTTCATCCAGCGTGACGCAGCTAAAGGGAACAAAGTACTGTACTATACTCTTGGTACGGATACGGCCGTAGATTGTGTTGAGCACCTTGGACAAATACACATCGAGAAGATAATCGGTGCGATAACCCTCCAACACTTCAAGACAAGCGCTGTACTTTGAGTTGCAGAAGAGGTTGATGGCACGGCGAATGTGCGGCTCTAGTTCTAGAAAGTTACGAAAGTCACTGTTGGCGAGAACCTTTTCCTGCAAGTCCGCGCGATCCATGGAGGCGAGGGCGCAGAGGCCGCCGTACACGGCTACGTCGTTGGCGGACAGGACTTCGGTCTGCCACTTGATGTTGGCAGCAGGCTCCGTCGTAAGGTAGGTGGGTGAGGTGTAGAGGAAGTAGGAGGCTGCGTCGCGGAAATTGCCAATGGCCATGTGCGAGAGGCCTGTCACGGCAGAGACAATGGGCTCCAGCTTGGCTTTCTCTTCGCCCTTGAGTTGGGCAGAGTCGACTTTGGTGAGGTTGGACTGCACGCTGAGCCAGGACTTTTGGGCGACACTGACGTAGACGAGGCGAAGGGTCATGTCGGCGAGGTGCTTGTTGGAAGTGCAGTGTTCGCGCATCTTCACGTATGCCTTGTGGGCGTTTTGGTAGTCGCCTGTGTCGTAGTAGAAGTGGCCGAGATCCTCGTTGCCCATCTTCAAAATGTCAGTCCACAGCATCATACCCATAACAAAGTCCCGTACATACCCGTATGCTCTCCTTGATCAGGTTGTTCTTGTACGACTTCAATTCGTGTTCCAGCCTCTCTTGCTCCTGCTGCACTTCGCGCGTCTTTTTCTCGGCCCACGCCGTGTCCGTCAGGGCTGCAGGGTCCTGTGGTGCAATACCACTGAACTGCTCCACAAGCGTCGTGTATAGTCCAACATTCTTGCCCTTCTTCGCCTCTGCAATGGCAAGTCGATAGGCGTCTACGGCGAGATATGGCGAGTGAGAGCCGATATGTTGGAGTCGGTCAATGCGTGTGAAGCCTATAGAAAGCTTAGTAATCTCACAAGAGTTTTCACGAGTAGTTATATAAAGTCCAACGTACCAGCATAGTTGGCAATGTATGATTCGAGATCAAACTTGGGTAGGTCTACTTGTTTATCAGCACGAGCTGGATTGTATAGTATGCATGCGATTACCTGTCACGATTGGCTCGCCTTTGCTCTTTTGTTGCCTGAAGAAGGGCGAATCTTCAAGGTTCGCCATGTTTCAGGGTGGGTATCGTGAGGTGGGTGTGGTGGTGAGGCAATAATCTTGCGGGCGATGAGGGAGCTTCCAGTTAGCTGCCTGAGTCGCGGTTGCCTCCCCCACGGCGGGGCGCCTTCTGACTAAGCGAGTTGTGAGTTGTGGACCCTTGCCTTCTCTCCACCACCCACCACTTAGTAAACTTCTGTATGATTTGTATTTGTATAAATTACCGACATCACCACATCTATTCATAACCATCTTAGACCTATCGAGATCGAGAAGACAGTATCTATTGTAGAGTGCGCAGTCAATCGTATCACAAACATATCTCTCTCTACACAATTTGCTCTGACCGACATCGATGATCGGCCCGCTGACCACCACCATCCAGCCGGTACCTCCCGTAGGTACCACCGCACGCTACTTACCCCCGACGTCGATCTCGCGAGCATGCTGTCGTTGACATGCAGCTGACGCTTTCTTCAACTGCAAGGCAGCTTCCTTGGCTATCAAACGATCGACAATGCAGTGTAGGAACAGCATAGTCAGGTAGACATGGAGAAAACGACAGGATTCTGTCGTGGCTCGATGTGATTCAACATCTCCCTCCTACCTGATCCAACGTCCCAAACCAAAGTCATACGGGTATTCACTCACAAGTCACTGCAAGGAAGCAAAAGCAAACTCTAGCCAAGTCAAATGCATCCTAGGAGTACTATTCTTTCCTAATCTTCCCATAGCCAACCGAGGTTCGCGCCAGCACGATTTTACCATCTCACAAGTCGCAACCATTAATCCTTGTTTCGCCCAAATACATCCCGCTAAGCAGACAGTGGTATCGCTTCCAAAGAACACCCCCCAAAAAAAGACGACGCGCTTGGTTTGTGAAAAGAAGGAAAATGATGGTACAACAATCGTCCCTTTGTCGTTGCTCGTATCCGTATACGGGCCCGTGCCGAGTGGGGCGGGCGAATTTTTGTGTAGTAAATTGTAATAGTATCCATGCGCGCAAACCCAAGTCGTTAGAGAACGCATATCGTATCCCAAAGGGGAGGGTTTGTGTCGATCGAATCGCTCAAAAAGCACAGACGCAATCATCATCATGGCGAATGGGAAACCATAACGTCGAACAGCGAAAAGAAAGGATGACAAGGAAGAAAGAAGGAGCAAAAAAAAAGCCTCAAAAAGAAAAGTCGTCTAGCACGGTCGTCTCAGCGCCCAACACATTATCTGGAATCCATGGGCCCCTCTCCTCGGGGGTGGCACCATGCATGGCTTCTGACCGCTTCAGTGTCTGCACGTCAAGATCTGTCACATACGCTTTGCCGTCTGGTAACTTCATGCGTACTTCAAACTCTTGGTCAAGCATCATGTCGTCTTTCCACAGTCGGCGTTGGCCATCATACACACACAATACACGCTTCTTCATGCGCATCTTGTCCGTCGGGCAACCCCACGACACGGGGTAGTTCTTGCGCCTTTTGCGGCCAGAGCCCGTGATGGCGACCCCACCTTTGGAAAAGGTGAGGCCGGCGCGCGGGCCTTTGGTCGAGGGCTTTGTAACTTTGGAGGAGTTGTTGCCACCTCCTCCGGCTAATTGTCAATGTGGATTCCTTGTGGACTTCAAGTTGCCGCGGCCGACGGGGCGGGAACGGCGAGAGCCGTAGGTATCGTCGTTGTGGTCGTCATTGTCAAACTCGTCATCCTCGTCCTCGTCCTCGTCCTCGTTGTAGGAGACGGGGACGTTGTATTCGATGCTCTTGGAGAGACCATTGCGGTCGAGAGTCTCGGTGACGTCCTTGTCCTCGGCAACGGAGGTGAGGAGACGTTGATTGATAGCCTCGCTGGGGTCGGCTTGCTGGACGACACGGAGGACGCAGTCGTCGAGATGCTCGTAGAATTCTTGGGCGTTGGCAAAGGTGACTGAGCAGGTGGAGCAGGTACCCGTGGCGTTGGACTGGAAGGTGGCTGTAGACTTGCGGCTTGAAGGGCTCTTCTTACGGCTGTTGGGTGGATTCCCTATAACGCGCCAGAAGGCATTCTAAGCGTACTACCGGCTCGCT